AGCTAACCATTCTCGAAAATCATCGAGGTTAAGAATGTATGACATGATCCTTAGTTAAATACCAGGGACAACTTCGATTTATTTTGTGGTCGTATGAAGGTTCTGTACGTGGATGTGGGGTCTCCTCACAGTGTCACGTAACTTATTGTAATTTAGCGTTACGTAATTTTTAATTGTTAAAGTTTGATTTGAGCCCATCTGAATCAGGGGTGTAGTAGTTCGATGTCTCCTAAAGTTTGATTTGAGCCCATGTCAATCAGGGGTGTAGTAGTTCGATGTCTCAAAATTGAAGTTCCCCCGATAAGTTCCATTGTATAGTCTACTTCGGATAACAGACTTTGTCGAAATGCGTTGAGGAGTTTGGAAATTGTAACTGTGTTTGTATTTTCTGTTTTGAAGCCGTACGTTTTGTAGAAGACAAAAGCTGCAAATTTCTGTGTGTTGGTTTACGTTGGTTATTCCCCCAAAGAGTGAACCTCAGAATTCGCTTGTGGATTCAAGAAGTTCCAAGCGTCCGACTACAGGCTTTTAATAGAGCTGTCATGACGATGAGCGATGTTGCAAGTGGTTCTCCCACACGATTGTGTTCCAAGCAGCACTTTGCGGAGGACGTCTTCAAAATAGCACGCTACCAGTTAATGAGACAGGCCACTCCGATTCGTATTAGGAGTACCTAATGTGAATCGCAATAACGTGCTAGGTATCTGCTAATTCCTGCCAACTGTCTCTGCTGTTGAACGGCACATTTGTTCTTAAGTCTCTAGTCTGTTATGCCCTGCGGTTTAGCTGAATAGCACAGCCGAAGTGTGTGGCTTGTATTAGACATTTAGACATTTCTAATTCTAGCAGGTGAACCAACTGTTCAGTCTTGTCGTGGTTTTCCTCATTCAATCCAGAAGAATCCAACCAGTTTGGATATCTAGATGTTCTGATTAAGGTTATTTGTAGTTTTTCTCGGTATCTCTAGGATAACGTAAGATAGATCAGGACCACCTCCTTTTAAATCCGTACCTCCTTGTCATTTATAATAATTTTCGTGTCTTGTTCGAACTATATGTTATTAAAGTAGGCCGTATCATTAAATACGCTAAGAATGGGCCGATAAATCCAGAAGAAATTGGGGATAAAATAGATAACCATTGCCTGCCCATATCCTGTTGAAGTGTTTATCCATTAGAATATTTAGGAATTAAGTTCTGGTAAGAGGGTTGTTTTGAAAACTCGGGAGACAGGCTTTCCATTACGAAGTCAGAAATTAACTTTGTTGTCGACATTGGCCATTTCATCGACAAATACCACTTCTCTAAAGTAAACTGTGTCGTAAATTATTTTGTTTATGTTATCACAGACATTGAGGCCTAAGGATTTGGTGCCCGTGGGCCTAAATCTGGCCTGTAGTATACCAAAAGCATTTCGTAACTTCATAATAAGGATAGATAGCGTGATGTTGCATTGAACAGATCGCGGTAACTGTCCGTGTCTGACATTGTAACTTATTGTACTGTCAGCTCTAGTACGCAGGAGAATGCCATAAATAAATTAAACAAAGAAATGAATGCAACTTGAGAAACTGTCCCACGCTCATACCATGAATATTTAGTAGGTCTGTCTGCAATGCTTTGGGCAGTATAGGCGAAAGCTAATAATGGCGTTTCATTCTACTTGTGACGCAGCAAAGTCATTATCCGCGTACTGCAACTTAAATAATACTCGGCATTGTGCGGCTGGACCATGATTGGATGCGTTTTGTGAAGCGTCCAATTAAAAGCAAGGCCTCCCCTTCACACAATGCTGATTGGCTAGGTGATCCTATTGTAACCCAACCTCATTCAACGCTTTCGATTAATTATCGTCAGGGGTGTGCGTCACTTGGAGGTTGCGTTGTTGTTTAACATCTAATAGTGTCGAGCGCTGAATCTTTTTCCACAAAGACTGAATGCTTTGAAGTTACAATGATCTTCAATCTATTCCTAGGTCTCCCTATAATCACACTCCTAAAATAATAGTGCCAATACTGCAGATAAACATATCTAGTGGCTGTTTGGATGCTTTTAAAATAATGTAATACTATAGTCCTACTCGTTTCTGTTTGGTGTAAGATTCTAGATCCTTATAGGCTTGCACAAAGCAGAAAAACCTCGAACTGCTCCAACGTAACTTTCTTCGAGTATGATACGTAGGCGATACGTCGATTTTATCTGGGATAACATGTGTACATACCTATACCATACAAGATGTTCATTTTTCTTTTATTCTGAGTAGGATTTGAGGTTATCACTGCGATGAGTCCTAAAATGGCCGTCTTCTAGCTTTTAGCGCCGTGTAAACTGATTGAAGTTTACCAACGTTTCAGAGGTCCTTGCTGCCTTCGTCATCAGGCTTTCTTAAACGACGGTAAACTTCTATCAGTTCCACCCTGTCTTTGTGTGGTCTTCAGTATAAAATATTATTTTCTATGTCTATCCCCTACTTCGCACTCTGTCGTGTCTAACAGCTCAGCCTTGGTGACAAAGACGTTTCGTGGTTTTCCCAAGTCTGTGTCAGGTACTTTAAAATACTCCGTTTCTCCTTCTTCTCGCATCCCTTTTAAACGGTCGTTCGTAAATATTTGTCACGTTCGGAACCTCATAAAGTGAGCATTTGGTACAGTGTCTTTAAATAGGCCAAGAAATACAACCATGTTACTGCTAAAATGGCATAATTCGAACCGCAAAGTCACTGTCTTCTTTAAAAATGTATTGAGTATCTTAATGTTACTCATGTTGTCGAATTAGCTGCGTTGTCATGTGACATGTCGTTTCTTGCGGAAAGTTGTGAAACTGGCCAACCATATTTCATACAGAAGTAACAGCTGTTATCTTTGAGAATTGACACGTTATAAGAATGGAAGTACAGTGTACATTCTGAGAATATTTGGAAACCGAAGTGTGCTGTGACATTCTCTCCGGATACAGTTGAGCGGGTTATTGCTACACGGCTGTGATTATCACACGCACATGATAGAGCACCATCGCGCATCTTATGACGTTACGTTGCTGGAGGCGTATCTGCTGGGCATTTAAAACGCATTAAATGAAAGGCGACGTTGATCTTTTGCGGTCGCCCGGATGATGGAGGTAGTAAGAATCTCTGAAACGTCGGCAGACTCCCACCAGACCGCACGGCGCAACAACCCAGAATACAGCCATCTTCATACTTACCGGGTTAAGAACCTAAAATCTCAATTTATTATTCTTGGTCACTGCAGGCGAATAAGTCACCACCCCTTCCTTCCAGATCCTTATTTTCTCATCCTCCTCGAGCCCTTTGTAACCTCCTGAGAATTTGTCTCAAGAAATTCGGGACACATTTTTGGTCTGAGCAGTGTTTCAGTCTAACGCGATCTTTAGGAAAGCTTTGGCAAATGTTTGTACCGAAATACATCAAGTGTTTGGCACCCCTGTTGTCCGCGTAACTGCGGTTTCCAGGGGCTACACGTATTGTTTATACCTATATTGTACCTTCTCTCGGGTCACCTAATGCCCCCGATTTGATCAACGTTTCCATGGTTACAGCATTGCTCACTACAATGACAGCGTCTATATTAAAAATACCACAGTAGTGTGGACACGAAGGAGGGCTGTGTTTTGAATGAAGCAAAATGTAGTCAGTCATTGATGGTTAATATCACTAACGAGGGAGGGATATGACAGGAATCACCCACCACTGGAAGTGCACAAAGGTGACATTAAAATGTCTTTCAAAAGGCCAGCGCTATAAATATATATTCGCCGTAAAATTTCATGATGATTCCTTTTAATTTTAGCGACGAATTGTTCAATTAAGGAGTAGCAGAGCTTGTACTTATACATTGCTTATTTGTTGACTTATTATAAAAGATTCCGAATAATTTACAGTATTCTCAAAATAAAATTTAATGCTCTGAAAACGTACTGCACAATACTTCTGAGTAAGTCTGTAAGATTTCTGATAAGTTTGCTGCAATTTGCATTTGCGACTGTTACCATAGATGTTGCAGTTAGGTTAGGTTAGGCCATGGACGAACTAATGACGAACAGTGAGAAGTAGGCGTAACATTGAAGATTGCTGCCTTCTGGGTTGCTACGCTGTGTTGTCTGATAGAAGATTAGGTAAACTTATACTAGACTACACGGCGCAACAACCCTGAAGACTGCCATCTTCGTACTTATAGCCGTGAAAACATCAAATCCAACATACAGGGTCTCAAAAATATGTACACACATTATAATAAGGAATATTATCCTTATCGTCTATCTCCGTGTTTTGTGTTTACGAGGGGAACCTAGTGTGGTCTACACTTAAAAGTTGGCACCCCTGTATCTTTGAACATTATTCTGATACTAAAAATGGTTGAGGGTTTAGTCTATTAAGATGTTTTTATTTCATTTATTTATTTCGGACACCCGTAAGGGCCTAGTAATGTAACATAGGCTTAGGCTGTCGCCCGAAGCACGTACGGCCTATATATATTCTCTTTTATGTTTGTCAGGCCTCCTGACAAAGGTTGATCGAGTAGTCACGCAACCCATTCTCGACACACATTTGTTAAAAAAATCGCACTGAAATCTAAAAACAAAAAAGAGTGGTGTATTAGCTGTTAGTGTCCACCGCGTTCAGCGTTGCATGGATTCACTCTTTTCCTCATGTCTGCAGCCCACTGAAGAGATACCTAAGTTTACATTGACGCATTTGTTAACACATTTATGCCCAGAATCCCTTGCTCTCTTAGAAATAAAGTTAAAATATGGCATTTGTTGCAACGCTTTGTGGATTTGTAAGTAGATGTCATCGTCTCGGAGGGATACACTGCCTCCATCTTCAGGGCTGAAGTTACTTGTACAATTAGCTAAGCCTCGTTTATGTTTTGTTTCTTTTAAAAGGATGCGTAATGTATTTCTGATGTGATAGAACATTTAAGAATGGCGGAATGTTTGAAGACAGTCTGAGATGAAACCTTGATGACTCTTTCGTGTGTGCAGATCCGAGGCAGTGGAATGAGACGAACGTGGCACAGTGGCTGTGCTGGGCCATCAGGGAGTTCTCGCTGGAGGGTGTAGCAATGCATCACTTCCACATGAAGGGGAGGGACATCTGCGCCATGGGCAAGGAGGCTTTCCTAGCACGTGCACCACCGTTCATGGGAGACATCCTGTGGGAACACCTGGAGATCCTGCAGAAAGGTCGGTGGAGTACTGAGGCGAGACAATATTAAGTATGAGTTGAGAGTATGAAGATGGCTGTCTTCTGGGTTGTAGCGCCGTGTAGCCTGGTAGATGTTTTCCAACGTTTCATAAGTCCTTGCTGCCTCCATCATCAGGGCGTTGAGTGACGTCTGAGACGTCAGTAAACTTCTACCTGTTTACACGGCGCTACAGCTCAGAAGTTATGTTCTTAGACAGTATTTTTTACCAACTTTATCCTCGCACGAAATCCTTCTAAAAATCAGAAACGTTTTCCATCCCAATTTTCTTTTTTATAATTCCTACTTAAATACAATAGGTCCTCCTGCTTATGGCTTCACTATTTTACGTTGTAGTTCCTTCTCATGAACTCCTTGTAGCATTTCATGAACCGAAAAAGGCTTTTTACCTGTGTACATAAGTTCGAATCTCGACCGGGTTAGACTTTCCTGAAAGAGATTTTACATGTGAATGCTGGGACAGTAATCTTAAATAGGCCTCAAGCTGATTCCTTTTCAGTTCTTTAAGGTTTATCGAAAACTATAACCCTCTCACAATTCAACTCCAAAGTCCTGCTGCAGTCGACGTAAGCGTAACTCATATGTAAAGTTCTTCTTGAGAAGCTGATGGATTATCAGTCGGTGAAGAATTACCCTGCATTTGATGGAACTGACACTTTCGTCAGCGTTCATATCAACCGCTGCAGGAACCTGTTGTGAGCCGGAGCTTCTAATATTCCCGTCTACGAGTCGATCTCCGAAGTAATCTCTTTCTTTCGTCTTTTCATTACATTTATTATATCTCCCATCTACCCACCTCATAATAGTCTTTGACTTATCACTAATATTTTGAGAAGAATAGACATTATCTCTTCGTTACGTAAGCAACAAGCTTGCGTAACTAGGCAGTAACCTACGATTCCTTTCCTACCAAGGGGTTCGTGAGCCGAGTATGGTAACTGCAGTGGTTAAAGCGTGTTTTTAAAAGATGAAAATCATTTAGGTTATACGCCATTAAGGTTTTACTCCAATTATTGCTGCTGGTAATTAAACCACGTTATTTGCTGTTTATGAGATGGATATGTTTCTGACAGGTGAGATTTTAGGTTCTCACGGCGGCGAGAAAGAAAGAGGGCTCTGCTCTGGGATGATGGAAGTTTATCGATGTTTCAGAGGTGCTTAGTGCTTCCATCATCGGGGCGGTCTTTGCTGTGGTGATTTAGGCAACAAGCAGTTACGAAACGTCAGTAGACTTCGAACGTAGTACATGGTGCAACATCTCAAAAGACAGTGGTCTTTGAGTTTCTAACAGTTTTTTGTAACAGCAGTGCTTGCTCTTGTGAATACACCAACATTTTAAATTGTTCTTGTCTCATCATTGTCGCGAAAAATTCAGGATTAGACTTAATTTCGTGAAGGCTGATGGTTTCTGACGAGGGTTGCATTACAATCCGTAAAACTATTTTCTTGAGCGTTATCCATCGTGTATGTTATACGATAATAAAATAAGGACGTTTCGGAAGCTGGACTCTTCTTTAGTCTTTAGGTAAGAAAGTGGAAGATGGTAAAAACAAGCATAATCCATCTTTCTAACCGTTGTAATTTATTACTTTTTAATCTAGACGATGAAAGAATCCAAGAGAACTATTACAGACTTAATTTCCGGTTCCTCAGCCGTTCAGGTGTCTTGTGGGATGTTGCGCCGTGTAGTCTGGTGTGAGTCTACCTGCCAGACTACACGGCGCAACTCCTGGAAGAGAATTATGTACATACTCAACGCCGAGATAACCTGAAATCTCACATTCACTTGTAATTGTTCTCTCCGTATTTTCGTAATACGTAAGTTCCCCGGATGTCCTCGTCCTAAGTCTGTAGGTTATTTCAGTACCTGCCTTCGTATTCTGTTGTGCCCGTTTGCAGACAGCTCGTTATTAGTGTTCTGTTTCACCTGTAACACTTACAACATTTAATTTTAATGTGTGTTGATAATTTAGCCATTGAAGGTCATGTAAACCTTATTTGTGCTTCTTACAGACTTTCGGTGTCCCTTACGCCCCGCCGTCCTATTTAAAGTTTTGTTTTATCGTTACTTATGTCCTCTTTTAGTATAGACTATACGGTCTGTTTGCAGAAATTTATCTTAATAATTTTATTTTATTGAAGAATAGTAATTTTATTTACTTATTCCTTCTGTGGACTGAGATACTTTCGACTTAATGTGTTGTTCTTCGCCCTGTTTGTCGCAAAGGACATTTGTTTAGGCCTCATACATGTTTGAACAACAGGAGAGGTGTTTCAGCGGCTGTAGAGATCAGAGGGGCTGGGCTAACAAAGTTACCTTGAAAACCCTTGGGACAAAGGAGTCATAACTTGCTTTATGTTTCATCGACGTTTCCAAGGAAATTCAAGAAGACATCAGTTAGGATATTCGCTCTCCAGTCCGAGATTCGAACTTGAGTAAATTCAAGAATATGAAGCAGAACGCACCGTTCGGCCCCGTTAAATGCAAATTTATGTATGATGATGAATGACTGTGGGTTATTTGTATGCAGTCATGTTCTAGCATCTGGATCTTAAGTTAATTGGATAGATGATAGTTTCTCAGCTGGTCAAGAAAGTTGCTTTGATTAAGGGAACCAGAAGATTAATAACAGTGTTCACAAAAGCTTGTCAGTGGACACTTGGCCTGGACCATTTTAATCTTTGAAGGTAACAAAATATCTGGCTGTGAATTGTGTGGAGTTCTGCATGAAAGCGCGCGTGTGTGTAGCTTATGGACATAAACAACTGTACTTCGGTTACAAGTTAACCTCAGCCTTTCGCTTTCCCAGAAGAGAATTCGAAGGAAGGCAGTGAGTGAAATCGTGTTCTTTTTGTAAGGAATTACGTGTCTGTATAGATCCGCTAGTAAGATTTCGACAGAGGATAACAGTATTCTTGATGCCAAGATTGCCAAAATTGTTTATTTTCTTTTAATTTTAAACACGGGGTAGTGGAAATAGTCATGAAATGATCGCTTGTTCTCTGGGGTTCGTATGTCAGGCGAAGATTTTTGTTTGCGAGCCAGTTGGTGTAAAAAGTGTTTTCCACTAGACTTGGCTGAATCTTCGTGAGTGACCGATCAGCGCAAAGGAGGTCTGCTGAGTCACGTCTTCAGAGGTATGACAGTAACATGGACGGCAAAATTGCGTTACTAACAAGTTCGCACCTGTTAGTGCGTAGTGTTGTAACCTTGTTTTCTTATGAATAGAAAAAAGACGTCTATTTGTATTTGTCAAGCTAGCGAATTTATGTACAGTATTCACGGTAAATCTTAGTCCTTTGCATTCAAATCAGAGAACAGAACAATGCTTTACAGTGCTACATTTGGCATCACTGTATATTTGTTTTTCCTTCCCCCCCCTCCCCGTTTCTTATGTGACCGCCATTTCTAGTGAAGAACATTATAGTTCAATGAATAATCTGTCGAGGTACACGGTTCGATTCGCGACCAGTCCTCCGATCATCAAATGGTGAATGGGGTAGAATGCGAAAGGATTAATCTGTGCACACTCGTTTTATTTTCCTGAAGGAACTGAGGAAAACCACGCAATCTGAGGAGAGCCGTCCACAGGTTTTCAACGTGAGTGTGTAGGCCTATGTGTGCACATATGCAATAAAGATACTGGCGGACCGAGTCCGAATTATCGATTTGTTCAGGCAGTCTAACTGTTGTGGAAGAAAACGATAAATTATTCAGAACTTCGATTATCGGAACGAAGTCTGATAGATAGTCGATGAACTTAATTTGTTTACCGTTGTGACTTTTGTACGGACAATGAAAATAAAAGATTTATCTCTGTAAAGCTATAAGATAGTTTAAAACATGTCTTTACCAACATAAGTTTAAACAAAGATTTATTGGGGAAATGATGTAGGTTCATAGAATTCTATGTAAGATAATAGAAATTCAGAACGAACGAGTATGTACAGGGCTCGTTCGAAAGTGTACGTCGTCCAGGTAACTGACAATCGTTGTGGCTTGTGCTCCGACACCACAAAGAGACGTCCGCTGGCACTGAATGTAGGGAACTAACCTGTGGCTGATTACTGGCGTATGAACCTGTCTGACTTTGCCGGTTGAAGGTAAACACAACCAAGCGTTATGGTACCAAGGTCGAGGGGACAAAAGTGTTCCATTGTACATCATGACCGCTGAATATTAACAACGGGACAAGCGAGGCGAAACGCTGATAACACGGTGATTTCATAGCAGTTCCACATATAGAGTGAACTGTAGCGAGACGTTTTATCACTAAACTCTGTGATAAAATGCAGAAAAGTGAGAAACTTCGACGTTATTGATTGGAAAAGGGCATATTTTGATCCAGTATGGAGCGATCTATTGTCCCCGTGTCTGAAATATGCTCCTGAAAGTGACCTTTTGCCAAAAGCTTCTGTAGTTTTCGGTGCTAACGTGGCAACACTGAAATTAGAAACCTTGACAACATTTTCGTCATGAAGTGAATAGGTTATCTATAATAGATTGTTTGACCTATACCTCTCAGACAGTAGCTTATATTACAATAAAGCTCATTATTAGATTGTCCTTTAACTGATTCCTCTATTGTTTGTACCAGATTTCCCACGAAACAAAGTTTTATTAACCTGAATAATTGTAATAAACAATGTCCTTGTCTTGAACAGTGAATCGGAATTATGACACGCAGGGAAGTTATGGTTACAACGCGTTTTTATCTTCTCTTTGTTGTGATTTGCTTTTAAGCTGTAGTTCATTAGGAAATACATTATTGTAGTGTCGTCATGTTAGTAGACTATGTGCTCCATCTAATTTACTTGAAGAGCAGTTAAATGTATTTTCATGGCGTTGAAGGAAAGAGACACGAATGTTTGAAAATACATGGTCCTATAATGTCTTCAGGCACTGATATTTTAGGTTCTCAAGGTTTTGAGTATGAAGAAGACTTTCTTCTGGGATGTTGCGCTGTGTAGCTTGATAGA